CTAGTTGTTACCATTTTGAACAGTGATTTTGACCTAACAAACTGGTCTGTCTTAATATTTTGATGGTTGGCATTCAAACTGCTGTAGGAAATGCTGCTACTGCTTTGGAAAGGTGGTCTTTTCCATCCAAATATATTAAATTATGCCAGTGTGGGGTAAAAGTGCATTGAACAACTCCATTTTCTCTCTGTCTCCTCCTTTTTTCTAGTTAAACCTAAAATATTATGCTCTTACAACTGTCTAGTTAAAGTAATTTTTTTTCTTCTGTTGTACTCTGTAATATTTCAAAAAAAGCTAACACTCAATACATTATATTACACTAAGTAAAGGAAAAATAACTCAGAACAAAGAGATTGCTAGTATGCATAATGGCAGAAAGGTGTGACATTTTCAGCTGTCATGCTGGCCAATCTTGAGTTCAATCTCATCCAGCACCAGTGGATATATTGTAGGTATTGCAATTAGAAGGCAGGTTGCACACACGCCTCTATTGTAATCCACACATCAACTTCACAGCTACGTGCAGCCTTTATTACTTGCTAAACAATTTGAATGTCAACACTTAAACTAATGCTTGAATGAAAAACTGGGTCCAAATTTTCCCCCTTTTTGTAAATCTGGCTACGTCTTGAGTTTTCTGGATATCTGGTCTGTATTTATGTCAGACGCTTTAAAACAAACCTGTGAACTTTGACAGGTTTGTTTTAAATAATGAGGGTTTTTTTTCCATGCAAGCCCATTTGTTAAGTTTATTTGATATTTTATTTGTTTATTTGATGGCTACATCTTCAGATAAAGAATAAATCTTAAAATTGTGGCATTGCTCAAGAACATTCTTCCCAAGGTGTACTCTCAGTTATACGGTTTCATTTCTATGAATACATCAGAGTAGAATTTCAGCCTGACTGCCATTTTAAGGCTGTTTCACCATTTCTCTCATTTGCCTCTGCCCATGTTGTTTTCTTTTTTGGAACATTCCCTTCCTTCAGGAGACACATAATAGCTGAGAAAAGAATATTCCTTTCCTGTCTCAGATTGCCGTTGAGGTGACCATTCCCTTCCTAAACCTCCTTATTTTCAAAAGCAGATCAACTGATTCTTCTGGATAATTTTAATGCCTATTTATTACATTAATTATGATAATTCTTGAAAAATGCTAGCTCTTGAAAGCTGTTGTAAACATAAGGCTTATTACATGTAGACTTTTTTGGCATTTTGCAAATGTTCATTTCTGATTCATGAATAAGCTTGACCTGGAGGTTATTATCCTCTTCTCAAGTAAGGGAGAGCTTCTTAAGAAACCTGAGAAAAGATGCCTCCTCCCTGTTCCTGATGTAGCAATCACTGCTGTTGTTCCTCATCTGCACAACAACACTAAGCACAGAACCAGAAAGGGATTCAGAGGGGGCCAGTTCGTTGTTATTCCATGATAATGGTTCAGAGCAGCAACAGATGACAGTTTGGTGGTGAACAAGTACCAAAGCGGGGACACCTACATAGATATCAAAGACTATTTGGGCATCATCACGTCTGACAAAGTCAGTAAGGATTCTCAGAAACTGGCTACTGGCAGGCTGGAATACTGCTGGGTGTCTTTTGACATACAAATCACTGGCCATATGATGGATGGTTCTCATAACTATGATGAGATCAGTAAGATGCCTCTCAGCTTCCCTTAGGTCATCATTACTTGACCAAATACATCTTCATGAAGCCGAGGAATAAACGGCACCTTTTGCACTTTTTTCCTTCTTTTTCTTTTTCTTTTTTTTTTTTTCTTTTATTTTTTTCTTTCCTTTTTTAAAACTAGGATGTCAAGTAACAAGAATTAGAATCAGTGCTCAGGAATGATGCTGGAGCTCAGTACAACCTGGTCACATCAGAAATCTATTTAAACAAGACAGACAGATATCCATGGAATTAGGTTAACATGTCCTGCGACTTCCTTGTATCTGGATGACTTTGGTGCACTTCTGATTTGCACTTACCAACACCAACAGCAGATAACTTTTCAATATTTTATGGGCTCCATCTGAACAGGTAGTTCTCTGGAAGTTAGGGAAGTGTCCTGCTATAACTATTTATCCTAGTGTAGCTATCTCTCCGTCTGTAAAGCACCTTAGTAATGTCGATACTGCTACAGAAGACCTCTTCCATGAAAAGAATGATTTTGACAAAGAACCTGTGTCTCTCAAAGTCCTGAGCACATTCCAGGGGAGCAGAGATTAACTGTATTCTTCTTAAGTGGGAATATAGTTTGGGGCAGAGATCTATGAAATCCTTCCACCTCCAAAACCCGGATGCCATATAATTAGGTAGACAAGTGTGTAACATCTGGGAGAAGGATGAAGACTGATTCATCGGGAAGTTGTGGGAAGGGATATGAAAAGAGAGCCCAGTGCCGGACACTGAGATAGAGGGCAGAACAAATCAGTTATCTAGATCAGAAACATGCTTGTCAGGTACCATTAACAGCTTCTAGTGTAAAAATGTCCCATTTACACTTTTTCTGTTACCAAAAAGAACCAAGACTATCTATGGCCTGAAGGACCTGCCTTCCACAGAGAAAGGGAAGAGCCAGTACAGAACAAGACATGCCTGAAATATAGTAGGGCTCCTATGGAGCTTGCTCATTTAGGAATGGAGGAGCACCAAGAAGCCCTTCTCAGTTGTGGAATAAGCCTGACTTAAAGAAGCAAGAGAATATGTGATTCTAATCCTACATGTCAAGAAACAAATGCAGACAGATGGAAAACAACAAATGCATGGGCACACAGCAAAGCACTGTCGAAGAGGGATGTCAGCTTCAGGTTTCCACATACCATATCATGAAGCCAGCTTGCTGTTTCCACCCAACTGCCTTGCCCTGCAGAGGTAGAACAATGCTAAACTGGTGCCTCTGTGCAAGTGTTGAAGGCACATGGTGTCTGCCAGAGACATAAATGGTTTTGCCACTGCTGTGGGAAGCATTAACAGAAGCGGTGTTAACGCTTCCCGTCCCTGAGTATCATTAATGCTTTTTATTGATATTATGAACTTCTGCAACAAAAGTAATAGGATTTGTCAGGGGCTGTTACAAACTGCTCCTGCTGGATAAATACATAATACATGATGGCAAAGGTCCGATGGGCCTTTAATCAATTGCCTTTCTGAGTCAAATAAATGTCACGTTAGACATAAGCCATGTTGCATTCTGTGGGCGCCTCTGCTCCCCTCATCTCGCAGGCCTGACACCGCCACAGGCAGCTATGGACATGCATAGGCTCCTACTTATTTGTAGCAAATATATCAGAGCAAAACTGGAGCAGCATGTTGTAAATTACAGATTTGGGACACCTTATAAAGAAAGGCAAAGGAGAAGGGAAAGAAATATGGGGACACCATAGGCATAATAGGTCAACTCAAATACGTCTTTTCCTTGGGAGCTAGCATTGTCATACCACCTTTTGCAGCCACTGCAGCAAATCTCATCTTTTTGCCCACAGGGTGGGGAAGAAGGCACAGTGCCATTTCCTTCTGTGCTGCAAAAGTAGTGGGTCAATTTAAATGTTAAAGCCACATATTTCAGGTCTAGTATTGGGAAATGAAAGCTCTTTTGTGGTTTCAGCAAGCACCTTGAAAAAATTACTGATGCCCATTTGCACTTTTGCATCCCTTTAAAGAAATTCCAACAATCAAAACACAACTTGAACATAAATTTACAGATTTGCTGGTTTAATTCCTCTCCCTAATTCCTCTCCTAATAAGAAAGAGCTATTTCTCTTACTGTGATGTTTTTTTTTAAATTCCAGGCAGCACTTAAACAGTCATCTACTTTTCTCTCTGAACAGGTAGGAAACATGAATTTAAATTGCAAAGTGGAGATCTGAAGTAACACAAAGTCCAGGTATATTTGGACATGGAGTTCTAAACCTAAATTTAAAAGCCCTCATTATTTTTGGCATTCGCTAAGTAGCTTCAGCTTGGACATCCCAAAACAGTGGCTTAAAATGCTGGTGGACATTTGGAAAACTTTGGTCTGTCTTTACTTAACTATAGTAAATATTATGAAGTGGTAGTGCTATATTTCCCTTTATATTTCAACAAGAAGAGTCATTGTTTCGAAAGTGCAGATTTCACTGCCAATATGTATGAAGGAATCCCAGAAAAATGTGAGTTTTTGTTCCAAATGCGCAAAACTGTCGTGTGTCAGAACCTGACAAAATTAAAACTCAAATGATAACAAACAAACACTCCCAAAGGCTCCATCCCTTATTCCCCCCACAAAAAGAACAAAACTTAAACCATGAAAAAAATTAATTCTTCCTGTTCTGGGTCTTGAAAACACAATTATCTGGATAAACATAGTGTTTTCTTCAGTTAAAAAGGTCAGCGAATCACCAACCTACAAAGCAGCAACCAAACTCAAATGAATGTGACTAGGTGAGAAAAGAATCCTGCATAACACCTTCCAAAGAAATCGCTGACAGATTTTTAATCCTGATACTACTGAATGTCAATGAGAATACAGCACATTTAATCTACTCAGATAAGAAGAGCAGCTCAGAGAGCAGCCAGGGCTGGCTAAGGAAGGGTCCCACACCACAGGGTCAAACTTCAGCATGGACAGGTTGCAATGCTAGTTGACTGTTTTCTGCACTTGCTTTGCACTTGCACAGCATGGAATACTTTGTATTTCATCCTGAACTAGCACACAACAGCATAATGTCCATCAGAACATGCATACCCCCACATACAAACAGAAATCTTCCATATTGTTATCCAGAAATGCACATATAAATTCCAGATCAATCAATCAATCATACAATGTCACTGAACTAAAATCTGAGTCCCATAAAGTGACACTACTAGTGAAACCTTGGACTGCATTAGAATAAAAATTCAGTATTGAGTCCTGTGGCCATGGGAAGCAACAGAGGCCCCAGGCTGACTTTGATGGAACTCGAAGAAAAGGCACAACTTATATCAATGAAAAGTAAAAAAATGTTATAAATACTCACACAAGAGACACGGAAAGGTTCCTCCAGAGAAAGGCCACAAACTGATTGTGAGTGATCTGAGGAGAAAAGACAGAAAGGAAAAAGGAAATAAAATTGTTAATGAACACACTAAATGATACCAATGTAATAATATAAAACAGGGATCAAGGAGACTTGCAGATGGTGGCAATTCCCACAGGAGAGGGGAAAAAAAAAAAACCCTTTTAAACTCACAAACAACATAGATCTTGGAAGATTTGGAACTACCTGACCCCAGAACTATGTAGCTGAGAAAACTGGTAGTGGCTGAGAAGCTTTTCAGTCCTGGGATCATTCCAGGCCAGCAGAGACTAAATATCCTCTGGTGGCTGTTCAACAGGCTCCGTGAAATAGGCTTGTGGCTCCTATGGACAAATGCTCTTATCACAAGAACACTGCCAGATTTGAACGGCATCCTTCTTAGCAGTCATGCCAGATGATACAGGACTCTGAAACAGAACTCGCCTTCTTCATCCTGACCTTCACAGAAGAGGGGTTAGGCTTATTATTAGGGCTGAGAATGCTTACATTACAGCTGATAGCTGCACAGAAAAATTGTGTTGTCTTAGTTCCTTCTGTCAACACAGTATCTTTTGTACTTGATTGATTTGTTACCCTGAGACCCCTAAGAAAAAAATGACTGCATGAAAGTGGAATGGCTAAAGGTTTGCAAACTTCTGGTAGACTGCAGGTCTACTATGGTGATTGTAAGCTTTATTGCCAACATATTTATTTCCATATTTATTTCCAAAACATAATAACCTGGGATGAAGCAATAAACAAAATTAATCAAAGCCTGATGCTCTGAATTGTAACAAGAAGACACACTCCTGTTGGACACAGAAAACAAAGGCAGATGCTCCCCAAATGTTCAAAGCTACAAATCAGTCCTGTCTCCCCTTCCCTTTGCCAAGCTGAAAAAAATTTGGGTAGTCAGGCCAGACAGTGCTCTCCAGAAGATTGTTATCAGGGGAGCAGGAGCACAGCACAAAACGACCATGGGATCCATGTGGCATACTTCAGTACTTAAGACATGGCCCTCAACTTCTGCTTCCTGTCTAGTTACGGGGTGAGATTAGCTCTGTCATTCCTCAAAGCAATTAAAAAAACTCACAGAAATATAAACCTGAGTTAAGAGAGTGAAGGGAAAGAGAGGAGCTGTCACAGGAGAGAGAGAGAGAGAGAGGGGGAAGGCAGGCAGAAAAATCTGTTCAGAGTTGTAGCTACTATTTGTGGGAATTATGGTCCTGGTAGAGGAGAGTGTGAGAGAAAGCATGTGTACAAATCCAGTGCTTGGTTTGCAAGGGAGGTGGAGGAAATACAGCAGAGACAATCCTGAAAACTGTCAGGGCAGGAAACAAGATGCTAACAGCATCTTTTGGACAGGTCACCCACAGAGGCCCTTTTAACAGCAAATTTCTCTTTAAAGGAGCTGACTGCTCCCACATGTAAGGGAGATTTGCATGAGACAGAAGACAGGATGGATTCTGCCCAGACTGAAAAGCTGAAATGACATAAAATGAAAGGAAGGGCAAGATCAAGCTGGTGGAGACAAGGTCACTATCTTGCTTTCAAGAATCCATTATTCTAATGAACTGTAACAGGGAAATTCTCCTGGTGGAGAAAAATCTCCTTTCCTAAGCGTGTAACCCTTATTTTCCTATTACATTTCTCCTGAAGACTTAACCACGGAAGTCTATGGACTCATCTGTAATAGATGACAGTGAAGCACTGTTAGGGGCTGGTAGCTGAGTAGTATTTCTTTCAGAGTTTTGGGCAGATGGGACAGTGAGCTGCAAACCAGGGAAGAACCTGTGACAAGGGGTCTGAGCCAAAGAATATGCCTTGGAGTCCCAGAGTTGAAAAAAAAAAAAAGGAAATAAAAAGTGAAAAAAAAAGTGAAAAAAAAGTAAAAAAAAAGTGGAAGGCATCCAGTTTGGGGAAAAGAAAACAAAACACAGAATGGAAAATTTTAGGCTGAGGTTAGAGTTTGGCTCTGTTAAAAGCAACATAAAACAAGGTCTCTTAAGGGAAAGCATAAAGCAATTTTGACAACACATATGCCAAAGAATTCTACAAATTATGGCCTGAGATTCTGAAGGTGCTGACTAATGACTTACACCAACACTACCAACAAATTTGCTCTAAGAAGTGTACAAGATTGTCCTGTCTAATTAAAACTGTATGGTGATTATAGACAGGCACAATATACTAGAAGCTGCAAACTAGAATCTGGCAAAATCACCAGAACTGAAACACCGTGCTTTTTAAAATTATTGCAATTGGTCTGGACACTTGATTACCAGTTTTGTTCAAAAGAAAATATATGAAAACAAAACTTTCCCTGTAAAGTTCTGGAAAAACAAGATGTGTCTGAGGAAGCTATGATTCATTCCAGGTTAGATAACTACAGAACACGTATGCGGGAGAGAAATGGCCCAAACCATTAAAATGCTGGGGTGAAACTTCTTATCATATGGCACTGTTGGTCACTAGAGACATTTAACCTAATTACATTAGATTAACACAGTAGATTTCTTCAAGATATATTATTATATAACAACATAAGAAAATGAAGCAAGCTGGCCAGTTTCCCCATGTCTCTATGTTATAAACAGAATAATTACTTGTCTCTTTATGTCACTTGTTTTCAACCCCCCATTGCTCTATTTGGGGGAATGGACAAATGGAATCCACTGATCCTTTTCTTTATATTGAATTCCTAGTGTTAATGAATCATTATTATTTGGAAGATGTTTTGGCCACTGAACAGAATAGCCAAGGGCTAATCTCAAACCTATCCTTCCTTCATTGTGATCAGATTTTTTTCCTTTTCTCTTTCTTTGCTACATAAATAAATTACATTTAAGTCACAAAGACACAGAGTAAGGTCTACATGTTAAGGCTATTTAGAAATCTAGTCCCCCCAAGTTTAATGAGAATAAGGTTTCTAAACACTGAAGAATTTCTATTTATGGGAAGTTAAGACAGTGAAAACCAGTGGTATGAGTTACATTATATAAGCAGATATTAGATTTATGATGCTAACTACAGTTTTCAAAAGTGACTAAGACACTCATGTTGAAGTCCATTGGAAGTCAGTAAAATTTTGGCTGTAAACAAGCTGAAACCTTTGTTAGCTTAAACATTACTTCCTTCCAGCAACACTGACATCTTAGGTGCCAAAGTAATTTCTGCAATTGATGTTCAGTTGCTTCTTACAGTTTATTTGCTAAGTGGCTTGAGTTAACCTGCTTCAAGTGCCTTCTTGAAAATTGGGACAGCGATTCTGCTCCATTTTTGCAAAGTGATTTAGGATCTCTCTGATGTAATGCACTACACCAAGGTGAGCAATGCCAGTCCTTTAGCCACAGACTGGGAAGAAGCAGGCTTGAAGGACTGACAACAAATTTAGATAACCCTAAAATGACAGTTCTTGCCTCAAAGCATTTTCACCCTTTACTGATATGGAACCAGGGATGGGCACAGCTTTATCATGCGTAATATACTTGGTGAATTGGATCTAAGATCCAGAGTTTTTCCTCTCCTCCCCTTCTGGGTGCACTACATCTGCTCAGTATGAAAACTAAAATTTAATCCTAGTGGAAGATAAAAAATATCATTTACTAGAGAATTCCTCAGTTCAGAGGAGGCCAAATGGAGGCAGTGCCATGCTGGGGGGAAAGAGCAGACTGGGCTGAGATTCAGCAGAGCCCTTTAAATGATCTGAGGGGGTAAAGAGACTGTGCTGCATCTCTGACACAGCAGAGACAGATTACAGCAATATTAAATTGAGGATTTTAGTGGATATAATTGTTGTTTTTATATATTAATGAATAACAATAATACGTGATTCTGAACTGAATACCAGGTTTGACATTTAATCTGAGTGCTTATACCATCCATAAATGTTCATAAACGTCACACGACCCCTACCCTTTGATTGAATTACAATCTAGTATGCAATTTAGGAAACATGGATTAATCTACATAGATTTATATTTCTGCAGGTTACACAGTTATCTGCTGATTTATACCCTTTTCCCCTAAGTGTCCTTTCCATCGAGAATCCAGGAACATACATGCAAATCTTTAATAGGAGAGCAGCTCAAAATCTGGTGACTAGCAGCAGATGGAAACTTGGTTCAGTGAAATCTATACTAATTATCATCTGCTTTTTGAAGTCACCTCTGCTAATGGCCAGCAAAATCTTAGTTCCTGTGATATCTTCTATTACCTTCACATTACTTGTTACTACAGCCAGCAATCACCTAACATGTTTCTTGGCAATGCTGTGCAATTAAATCGCCTTTCAATCAGCTTGCTGAGGAATCCAGAGATGGAAACTGCTTTAATATTAGGAGTTAATTACAAGAATGAGGAGGAAGGCAGTCAAATGTTATGTTAGCACACCAGAAATATGACAACACCTTAGCCACAGATGTCACACGTGAGGTAAGGGGCCACATCAGGAAAAACAATGTGGCAACGTACAGAGGAAAATGACCTTCAAGTTCTCCCTTTTTTTTAAATATTTTTTTTCTCCCTGTGGTCATGCTACTTGAAGTGACCACCTCCTTTAGCAGTCAAAATATCTGGAATTTCAGTGACCTGTATTAACAGGCTTCACTGCACAATGGTGTCTGCTTGGGGACTGATAATGACACCCACTCAAGCAGTGTGTCACAGCACAGACATGGTCCAAAAGGCACATCAGAGAAAAAGCAGTTCAGCAGATCCTGACCCAGCACAGGCCAAATCCTGCTCCTTTTGAAATCCAGCAAGTCTTTGCAAAGGGCTAACAGGGCACATTCCTTTCCTTCATCTGCATCTTCACCTCTCTGTCCTACCAGAAGAGGAAGCTCCTCAGCCCAGCCCTTGTCCTCATGGACTCCTTCATTCACACAAGACTGAGGAAAAGGGCTGGCTACTCTGTCTAATAAGACAAGAAATGAACATCACTCAGTTGAGCTAGTGCTTGGAAAGGGATGAACCAAGGAGATGGTTTTACATCAGACAGCTTGTTGCAGGGAGGGAA